ATATATATATATATATATATATATATATATATATATAGTAATAACAATAGTACCGGTTTGAAAATAATATCATCTAAAATTATAATAAACGAACAAAGGGGACAAATGTCACTTTGCTGAAAATAGTGGACAGATAATTTCGCATAATTAAAAGAGCGAAGAGATGAAAATTTGATTCGCTGGAATCGAATTAATCCATCAGCACAACAATACAGAAAATGAAAAAAAAAAGAAAGAGAAATAAAATGATCAAATCAAGTTCATCGAATGGAAATCAAATACAACAAATTGTAGTAGCAATGTTTAAAGGAATCGATGAGAAGATATGTCTGTCTCTGTATGTGGATGTGTGTGTGTATATGTATGTATGTGTGTGTGTGTATGTGTGTGTGTGGTGTATGTCTGGAGGTGAACGAGATTGGGGGGGAGAAACTAATATTATTTTCCGTTTCCCCAGAGCTTTCGTATGTTTCCCGTGACAGTGGATCACTAAATTAAATTAGCTTTATTAGTGATTTATTGTTTTCGTTTAGTTTAGTTAAATAGTGTAAACGATTTCACACGACTAATACAAATATAATCATTATTGTTATTGCAATACTCGTAACTGTAATTAACTTGATTGCAAGAAATAATTGTTAACATTTTAGTAATACTCGTACAATAACCATTATGATTATCATTATACATGTCAAATAACTAAATTCCAATAAATAATCGGTCATTTTTATAATGATACTGACAAAATAATTAATTTTGATTATTTGTAGCATATCTTCATGCTTATCCTGTTGGAATTTTAATAGTTTAATTAAAAATTTATTGGAATTTTGATACAGTTCGGACAGAGTAAATGATCACTTTTGCATTTTGATACAGTCTACTGCAAGCATTGCTGTTGCATGTGCAAGTGCAATCGGAATTGTAAGATGCAAACAGAAATGTAATTGCAAAATGCACAACCATTTCTCCTCTCACCTCTTCCGTACAATACTTGATGTCCGTACTTTGTCATTAATGCTTCTTACCTTATCCTTTTTCTTTACATCTCTAATTCTCATCCCTTTCTTTTTTATCTCCCTCATTTCACTTCTTTTCCTATTTTTCCTTCTATTGCGAAACAAGGAAATTTACAGATCATCATCTCATCCAAACGATCATCATTACATCACCTTCCCTCTCTTCCACCTCCTTCTCCTCTTCCTCTTCCTCTTCCTTCTATCATCCTTACTGTCATCGTCATCATCATCACTACTATCATCACCACCACCGCCACTAGTACTATCACCACTATAATTACCATACTATCACCACCACCACCACCTATCATTTGAAACATCAGTGCGATCATCAACATTATTATTATCGTCATCATCATTATCGTCATCGCCATCATTATCATCATAAGCATCTGCGAACGCTTGTTTCAATCGTTGTGGAACGTTTTACTTCAGTTTTCAGCTGTTATAATTTTCCAATTCTCATTCGTCTAGTCCAATCTAATAGTTACGAACCGACGCTTTAGTTATTGTCATTCATTTATTTTTACACTTATCGTATCAATTAATTAATTAGACGGTTAATTAGTATAATTATTACCATCCATTTCTTCTTTTCTGCTCCATTTTCAGCTTTTTGTCTTCATTCTTTTGTCTCTTTCCTTTTTTTTCTGTTTTTTTTGCTCTCATATAATTCCAAAACCAAGTAATATTTTTTTTCAGCTAACTTAAAATTATTTATACCTACAGATGTATGTGTCTCTCCGTATGATATGATATGATAACAGTAAGAATGACATGTTTGTTATATGCCATTCATCTACGTATGTGTTCTTATGATAGTAAATATAAAAATGGTGCGATTAAGGGTAGCTGAATAGAACTAATGAATTTATTGTTTGTGACGTAATTATTGTAATTATTGCCTTAGCAATAGAAGTTACTCGACGTTTTGTTTAATTTAATTTGATTTTTACGTTTTCAATTTAACTTTTATATATTTAATTTGATTTTTTATATCTTTTCAAATTTGGTTATTAAAATGATTGTTAAACTCTTTTTCGTTTTGCTTTTCATATATATACTTTTTTTATAAACTGGGAAAAAAAGTTGAAATAAATGTTCAATTTGATGATGTTGCATTTTTGTTTTAAATTAAAAGGTGCGAATGAAAGTTATATTTACCAAATTTATAATGTATTTAGCTTGACCTTTACATCATTTTTCCGAAAGGTCAAACTATGTTTGCCTTATGTTGGGATTACTGAGTGTAATCTTTCTGTAGTCCAGTTCATATCTTCTCTCCGTGAATTTCTCCTAAACATCTTTTAAATGTCTTTCGAAATATATTGCGAAAATTAATATTTCTTTTATCAATAATTAGCAATATTCCAAAAATATTTTCAAGGACAAGTCAAAAAATAATGATGAATGCGGGTTTAATGCATCAACAACCAACTGCCGTACCTATGGTTAGTGCTGCAACTACAACTGCCAATACAGGTTGTATTCCTGTGCAGTTTTTTAATGGTTTTTTGGATGGTACCGATGGTGGATTAATTCATCATCATCAACAACAACAACAACAAGTACCATTGCAACAAATACTGCGTACACAAATGCCAGGTTTCTCTTTTTTTGTCTTTTTTTTGCTATTGTTTCCAACAAGAAATGTCGAATTTATCATTTCAGTGTAAGTATTTTGTTATCTTGCCATTTTATTCCATTTTTGATATGCTTAAAACTATAAGTATTGTTTAATTAAAATTGAAATTAACACTAATTTTTATGAATTTTCTTCAATGTTAAGTTACATAAAACTTCCTGACAAGTGCTAAACTTCTCGTATCTTAGCAAAAATTGTGTATCACTTATTTATACAACAAAGGCTGTTATGAAATTGAACAAGCCTAGGTCGAATGATCGATTTGTAGCTTCAAATTATTCGTTAGATAAAAAGATGAACATGAAAATGAGTTTCAGGAAATATTTCAAATGTTCCAGTTATTATACAACAACAGCAGCAACAGCAACACCAACAGCAGCAGCAGCAACAACAAATGTTCATGCGGCAGCAACATGTACATCCGGTATGTTCGAAAATTAATTTCTCAGAACGTTTAGGTTTTTTTTTTTTCTCTGGTTATAATTAGTTATTAATACTTTGCTACTAATTTTGACGAAATTTTATAAATTAGATCCAACATATAACAACAAAAAATTCACTTCAAAGTTTCAGTGCTAAGAATTTAATTCAAAAGTGTCATATTACTTTGAATTTATTTTATTATTATCACAATTATTTTCTTTTAAAAATTCAGCAACATGGTGTTCCTACGATACAGAATTATGCAGACAGCGTAGCGGTTGCAGCCGGAATGAGACAAATATTACCTGGCGCTGTACCATTTTCATCCAACTTCTACGAGTATCAGCCAGTTCAAACTATGCATAATATGCATCCGCAGGTGGGTAGAGATGTTCTGTATTGTGTGAAATTTCCGGCCTCTAAGACTTTTTTTTTTATTTTTCTTTTAAGCCTTTAAGAAGCTCACTGTTAAAGTTTTAGCCTCCCCTCTCTTCTATCCGAGATTTTCTTGAAAGACGAGAAAATTTTAACATCTGAATTTCGATTATCATTTCGAAATAATCACGTATGATCTTTAGTGTTACCTTCATGTATTAATTTAACTAATTTTGCGATTTATAATTGTTTCGGAATAGAATTTGGTAATATCAAAGCATGATTGTTTAAAAATGAGCATGAAATTTAATATCATCTTTACATTGAATTTTAACAGGTGGGAAATTTGCGGCGTATTTTATGCTTTATTCATTATGTTGATAATATATTATGTCATAGATAAAAAAGTAAAATAACATTACAGGTGATAGACAAAACGTTGATTCGAGATGTTCCACAACAACATGATTATTCGGGAAATCCTATACCATCTTCATCACATCATGCTACTGCATCTGCTACTGATCCATGTGCGCAAATTGCTCACGTTCTACAGTGCTATCAGCAGGTTTACCATTCATCTATTGACTAGTTACGTAAGTATAAATAATATCAAAACTTTTCTCACACTCTACTCTCGATTTCAAATATTTCCTAAACTCATTGTATTTCATTCTTCATCCCGAACTTCATTAACATACTGTTATGAAACCTTTAGAAATTACTTTTACAAAGATTGCCCATTGATTCCAATATGTTTATAAGGAATTTTTAACCAGTTCTAATCATCTATCTTTTAGAATATTAACTTTAAAGTACAGATAATGAGGTCGTGAAGGGAACTGAGCTACCTCTGTATATTTCCAGGGTGGTGAAGATGCTGAATTTGTTCGAAAAGCAATCGAAAGTTTGGTAAAGAAGTTGAAAGATAAACGAAATGAACTTGAAAATTTAATTACCGCTGTAACGTCAGCTGGGAAACAACCAACATCCTGTGTTACCATTCAGGTTCATTCTTCCTCACAATATTACTGCCACGGCAAAAATTGTTTAATCAGGGAGTAGATTCAGATAAATAATTTGAACTTATCGTCACTAATTGTTTTTGAAACAATGATTTGGCCGTTTCTAGTATTACCTTTTCATTGCCATGAGGAAAGAGATTTACTGCTTTGGATATTTGATATAGTCCTTTATTTGAAATATTCGCAACTGAATTGAATTTCCGGTAAAAGTAACACATGAAATCTAAATTTCATTAGGAAATGTTAAATAAATTACACTGTTATTTAAATCGTTTTTGCCAAAAAAAGAAGTTTTTGGGATTAATTCTTTTCTCTCCTTACTCATGAATATCTTACAGAGATCGTTGGATGGACGGTTACAAGTTGCAGGTCGAAAAGGTGTTCCACATGTAGTTTATGCTCGGATTTGGCGTTGGCCAAATGTTAACAAAAATGAACTGCAAAAATTACCAATTTGTGCGGTAGCACCTGACAATCAGGTTTTATTTTTTGGTTTTTAAGTTTAATTGTTTCAGAGTAAAGGAAAATGCTTTCTTACTATTAAGTAGAATAATGCCATGAGGTGTCCTTTATGATTTTCGCACATTTTGTTGTAAATTCTTATACCGAATACTCAACAAAGAAATTATCATTATAAAGCTGAATCGAAATGATTTCGTTTTCTATGGATAATTATCAGCTTGCTTAACGGTTTTAATGTTATTAGTTCTTGAAAAAAAGTAGGACATTTTAGTTTGGTAGCAATTTTATAATACCTAGTTCAATAAAATTTTGGTTTTTTCTTTCATTTTTGAAAATTGTTAATCTTTACCGAATTTCCAGGATGTGATTTGCATCAATCCATATCATTATGAACGGATTGTATCGTCAAGCATTGGAAACATTGGTACATTCTGTTTATTATATTTCGTTTTATTACAGTTATTTCGTCGATTACATGGAACTTATTTTTCTTTCTCATTTAGTTAATTTCACTTGCAGACATGTCGACTCTTCGTTTGGATGCCTTAACTGCACCATCATCATCATCACAAGTCACAGTAGTAAATCCACTGTCCAGTAATGTTGCACCAGGACAGATGACCCAAACGCAAATTGCTTCACAACCGTTACCCATTGAAGTAGATTATTTGCGAAGAGGAGAAAAAGTATTTTATACTTTTCAACTTTGTCCATTGTTTTGGTTCATTTGTAGTTTACGATGGCAAATATCACTGAATTTTAACCTTACTGAAAGTTAATTTCGTTGACTTATTCTTTAATTTATTGATTCTCAAATTATGCTGAAAGGATGCATTTATACTTGATTCCTACAAATTTATAACATGAATGGAATCCGAAATTGCTTTTCAAATTTAGCAAGAAGTTGTAATGTTAAATGTTGTAAGCCCATTCGTATTGACCATGAACATATTTGTATAAATACTGGAATAATAATTCTAGATGAGTTGAAGGAATAACTTCCACGTGGGTAACTTTGCAATATCGAGAAATTCCAAACTAACGGTCCAATTTCAGAGTTCTTATTGTGATGCGACATCACCTGGATCATTAAGCATGCTGCAAGGTGGTACCAACGATGGCACTACTACTGATGAACGGAATGCTTGGCTGAATCAGAACTGTGTTTTATCAGCAGCAAATTCATCCGCTGCACATCTCTACCAACAGCATTCGCAAGGTAATGGAATTTTCGAACATTTATAAATTTCATCCCATCACTTTATCAATTTAACAGCACTTCCAAAACAGTTTTCCAAATATAATTTGGCATAGTTGAAAATTACTTAATAGAGGGTCTGGCAAATAGTTATTGGTGATATAGTTATTGGTGAGACATTGTTAACGGGAAAGTACATAATGTCAAGGAACGAAAAGGAGATCATGAGTTTGGAAAAATATATTGAATTCTTTTTTAAATGAAAAATAGTAAGATCATTTAAAGATATCTAAAATAATTGATATCTAATTACGAGATATTATTTATATTAATTATTTTCCGCCCATTTTTCAGACTACCAACAAATCACCGATTCATGTAATTACTCAACCGGCCGTTGTAGATGTAAGTATGAAAGTTCGTTTCTTTTTCTTTTTTAATTGATTCAGGTTATTATTCATTTGCTGCTTGCGTTTATTTAACTTCAACCTTTGAGAACCCTGAACTTCATTTCGTGACCTTTTTCTTTTCCAATATTTTCTTCTTTCAGATAATTTGGATTCAGTACGTTTGCCTACTACACCAAGTACCATTTTCATTAATTTCTATTTTGGTACTTCTCTCATAATTTCAAATTTTCATTTCAAAACCATATTACCGAAGAAATATTTGAAAATTTTAAAATTTATTTTTTGTACAACTTTGTATTATAGTGCCCGATCATTGGTGTTCCATATCATATTACGAATTAGATACACAAATTGGTGAAACATTTCGAGTTCGAAAAGATCGAACAGAGGTATGTTGCACTTCAGAATTTTAGAATTTATTTTAAATTATTCATACATGTTTGATGAGAGTAATGAAAATTGTAAATTTTTAGCGAGAGACAAAATTGTACGTAACGTAGCTTTCTTATTGACCCCTTCATGTTTTTGATGTTGAGTCTTGTTATTGCTTGTAAGAAATTTATGCAGTAATTTAAAAAGTATTGAAAAAATGTACAAATTTATTGTATCAATTTCACATGTGTCCTTTTATAGGTAGTAATTGATGGTGGTGTTAATCCAGCAGGAGCTAAACATGGTCGATTTTGTTTAGGAGCCTTATCAAACGTACACAGAAGTGAAGCTTCCGAAAAAGCGAGGAAGGCATTTCCTTCTTCTTTTCCTTCGCTGATTTTTTTCTTTTTTCTTTTTTTGTTTGTTTTTCACTGTGATGCATGAATAATGATCTTGCTTGAAGTGTCTAAATGGCAAATTTTTTCATTTTCATTAGGAAATTTTTCAAGAGTACTTTTAATTTCCAAACGATATTTATTTAGATTACACATTGGGAAGGGAGTACGTATTTCAACACATCGTGATGGTAGCGTATATCTCGAATGCTTGTCGCACAAATCAGTTTTCGTTCGAAGTTATTACTTGGATTTTGAAAACGATATTGAATATGGTACCATTGTGCATAAGTTTTGTTCTGGCTCGCCGAGCAAAAAAGTGAGCTGTCGTTGTAATTCATTGTAAATAATAAATATAATAATATTGAATGATAAATGGTATAACTTTTATAATAAAGTTTTTTGGGTATTTATATATGGTGAACTTAGGTAATTATTTATGGTAAATTATAAAAAAATAATGGAAAAATGTGAAGTACTGTCTTTTTTTTTGAAATAGCTTCATCCGTTGATTTTATTTTTTCAATAAGTGATATATCATACTACAGATTTTCGATCTACGCTGGGCTTTTGCGGAAATGGAGCATCAGAGCAAGTCTGCCCGTTTAGCTGTTGTAGCACAAGCTGCAGCAGTCGCTGGCTATCTTCCTTCAGCAAATATTGCATCATCACTAATTGAACATGTTGGAACAGGCGTTGATGATTTGAGACGAGTAAGCGTTTTATATCTTATTTCTTTTTTCTGTTGTCTTCAATAAATATGTAACTGTCTTTTGATGATGGGGAATAATTTATATCTGGAAGATTCAATAATTCAGATGGATATACGCTTCCGTATGTTACGAAGATCCTATTCACAGTAATTCGATAAAACGAAGGATTCATGTGAAACAATTTTTTTTTTTTTTGGAGAAGGTTATCATCAAGGAATGCAATGTATTTCTTTTCCGAGAATAATTTTGTCATTTTGTTTAGGTATGTTGTATAATTGCAATATCATTTGTGAAAGGTTGGGGCGTTGGTTACAATCGTACATCAATCAAGGAAACACCATGTTGGGTTGAATTACAACTTCATCGACCACTACAACTTTTGGATCAGTTACTAAAAAAGAACGAATATTGATTGATCCCTTAAATTGTTATTTGCAATAATTATGAAATCATTGCAACTTCATCATTATTAATATTAGCAGATTTTTCCCAAATCCAGTGTCATATTTTTAGGAACAGTGCCTTTTTATTCCAGTTATGTATGTATCTTTTGTGCAAGGTTTTCTTTCCCTGAACTGGATTAAGATGTAATTCGAAATCTCCCATCAATACCTGATATAAAATATTATATTCTGTATGTTTTATATATAGAACAAACATCTACGACTGACCTGATGCTCAAACACTGTTAGGAACCTGCATGATGAAATCACTCAAAATTGTTATATGGGTCAGGAAAGACCCAAGATTCCGTATATTTCGAGTTTGAACCATTTGGCTACTGTCCTATACTATAATTTCCTATTTCATATATTTCAAGAGGCAAAATGTTAGCTTTATATTTTTGTATCATATTCCATTACTTTTCTGTCTGTTCTCATTATACAGAAAATGAGCGATCCTTCCCGTTGCTCGATTTGTTTAAATGAAAATTAAATTATGATTTGTCGCGCTTGTTGCAGTCATATATTCCAAGGTAACTAATTCCAGTAATCGGCAGTTCAACATCGTCATGAGATGAATATCCAAGATTTGTAATTAACTTCCAGATTGTTGAGAATTTCGGTACACTGCTTTGCGATGACCAAAACACTCCACTCATCCAGCATTTCGTAAGGAGGGGAACTGTGCTGCAGGCGAAACTAGTAAACTTGGTTCGTAATTGTGTTATCCTTCATCAACAAATTGTCGACAATGAAAGATGGTCTAACTACAGACAGCACCAAAATTAAAAAGAAAATGGTCATAACTGAACAACATGTAACAAAAAATTTATTTCACAGGAGACATTGTAATGCCACGACAACGAAACTTTACGAATTTCGCAGCTTTTGTTTACTCCTAACCGGTTCTTCGGTTTCGTATTCGATTTCGAGTACCTGCCGTAACCGCTTTTTCACAGGTTCACATTTTGGCTGCCTGTCTTTCAGATCCTTCCACCTCACTCGTTTCTTTTTCTGCTGGAAAATTTGCTATATTTCGAAACTGTTTTAGTTAAAGTATGTTTAATATCTTCAAGCAATCTTGAAATTCTGTTTTGAAAAAGCAGGGAGAGATAACCCTCCCAGTGCGTAACAAACGCCTCTGCATACATATTTAAGGATAACGTTACCGCATGAATCACTTTACAGGAATATCCTTTATTAAGATAACACGAAGCCAGTATGGTGCAAGGTAATCTGTAGTGTAAAAACATACTATATTCACCGGTTCCTTTCCTTTTTCCCCATTCGATTCCTCTTCTTGGTCTTCCACGGGGCTTTCCTCATCTTCACTTTCAGTCATATCATCTTCACCACTGGTCTCTTCCTCGTTCCAAAGAGCATTTACTCCTGCATCCTCTATATCTTCATCACCATCTTCATCAGATGATTCCTCGAAATCAGCAACGTATTCGCGAACTCCGTTATCCTAAATATTACCAGTGAAAAAAAAGGGAAAACATATCAAAGGTGTTTCTGCGAAAAAACCACAGAAATGCACACAGAAATGCAGAAATCCTAACCTGATTGACCTCTTCAATTTCAACTTCACGATCGAATTCTGCATCCACTTCCTCCTCCTCATCAAGTACACGATTGAATGCGTCTTGCCTAAAAATACCTCACCATTTTGAAATTCGCTAAACTTCGCAAATAAAATTAATAAACACTTTCAAACTTCGGTCAATAAAAGTGGGATAACTAATCTACTAGATATAACGGGAACTTTTTAAACAAAAAAAGGTAATAAAATAAGCAAAACAAAAGTATAGTGGTATTTCCACGACCTGAAATTATAGATTTCGCCGTAAGTCCCCTCACGTAAACGGTTCAGTAACTCCTTTTCTATAGCTGTATCCAATTTGGCAGCTATGAGTGCCTTTTCTTCTCGCCTCACTTCACGTCTTTCAATCTTCCGCTGTATCGGAATAATCTTTTGTTGTCTAAAAGATGAAAATTTAAATAGTGGAAGCATTTCAAAAAGTTAGCAGGTATTCTGAGTATTTCGAGACGTCAAGTTAACAAAAAAAATCAATTTTCAAAAAACTCTGATTTAAAGTGATTCAAGTGTACCCTACCTATTTTAATATCAATCAGTATTGGACAAGATTATTAAATATGGTTGCGTAAATGCATCTCTGTGTACTGCAAACGATCATACGTCAGACTAACTATAGCAATAGTCACTGTCTTTTCATACAAATTCACTTATTGGTCAAATCTAGTTCACAATGACTGGACGTAAATGGACAATAAGAGGAAGCCAATACTGCATCGGAATGGAATATTCCTGGACCCTTTTGTTACCTAAAAAAAGTAAAAGTAAAAAACAAATCAAATATAAACCTTTCTCGGAGCTTCAGCTTCCTCATCCTAATCAAATACTGATGTATGCGAATTAGACGTGCTTTACATTTGTGTCTAACATATTCAGACCAGTGCAATAATGCATCATCAATTTGTCTAACAGCTTGAGTCATATTTCGGGATAATTTGATCCGTTCCCAAAGTCTTCGTGGATAGTGACTTCTTTCAACTACCTTCATATATAGATAACAGATACCTGAAACAGCTATATGTCTCAACTGGATTATTTTTACAGTAACTCCTGCATTCTGCCCGCCCAAATAAAGAATCGTTGAAGGAGGTTATCCCTTTCAGATATGTTAAATTTTGATAAATGCAGTGTATCGCATTTCTGTCTTACTCAATATATAGATTTCCATAAAACGAAAAATACCTTTCTCCTCCCGGACAGTAGCATACTGACTGTTAGCTAACGGACATGATGCTCGATTACACAAACCCGTCAAATTGTATTCATTACGACAAAACTTCTGCGTTTTTATCCTGGAAAATGTTGCACGAAACTTGTAAATTCTAGTTAAAACATTAAAATGGAAAGAAAGGAAAATCGCGAAAGAAATGAATTTAAAATGCGCTTGAATACAGTAACTTTTAGGAGATAGAATTATAATTCTTTGCTAAAAAGCATTAGAAGCATAACGTTCTGATAAATGATACAAATACTTGTATTCATGAACGATGGTACTTGCCTTGTCTTAAAGGAGCACATTCCCTTGTTGAGAATATTCCATGTAACATCGTCACACTGCATACCTTCACGTCTAATCCAAATTCTATAAATGGTATTTAAAAATAACTGAAGCAATAAACAAAATACATTATAACTATCCTGCTAAGGCACAACATACATGCAGAAATAGCCGTCAATATAAGTAATTCATAAGGGAAAACCAAAGTAAAACACCAAAATGAGAAACCAAAGTAGAGCACCAAAATGAATTACATGTCAATTATGAACAAATAATAGTGCTAGATGAAGTGGAAATAAATAACTTGTAAAGGATATCTAAACCAGAAAATACCTAAAAAGGTTTACTTGAATGCTAATAGTACTCAATCTACCAAAAGAAAAAATCGAATGGACAAACTAAGTATCCCTTAGTATCCCATTTCATTAATTCATCGTTCATGAAATTTCGTTCACTGAAACCTTCAACACAGCCCTCCAAACCAACGTCCGCTACAAGTGTCACCTGTCACAAGGATGCAATCCAGTCAATTAGCAACTCGAACTTAAACCTGACCGCCACGATCAGGTTGCGCCATTCAATTCCGAACATTTAATAGGTTTGAATTGGAATTTGATGTATTGGGAGGTTGTGAAGTTTTAATTTTTTCACTCCTGCCATTATTCTCTCTTACAGATTTTATCAACCACTACTGTCTCTCAAGAGCAGTTCTTCGTCAAATGTTCTTTTAAATATCTGAATGATTTGCTCATTCATAGTTTCGTAATGTTTTCATATTACTTCTAATCTCTGATCTCTCTGTAGATTTCATTAGTCTTATTACTTTTACATCCTAATATTATTCTGGAAACATGAAAAAAGTCTTGTCCTTCCAGTTATTTCTTGAAAAATTAGATGGATGAAAATGTGTTTGTAAAAATATAAATTGTTTGGAATAAGAAAAGTTGTCGTTGTCTGGATAAGATAGTAATAATGGATTGATGTCAGTTTCAATTTTAAATTGAAATAGACTTCGAAAATTCTTGAGAAATTTCCAGAAGTAATATTTTAAAGCCATTCCTCAAACATTTTATTCCCCTTCATATATCTTTTTCTGTCTGTTAAAAATTTTTCCTCTCTTTTAATGTTTGCTTAATTTATTCATGCCAATTCATACTATCCGATTGGAATACATCGTTTAATTCAGTACAGTTAAAGCTACAATTGATTAAATTATTGGATTTTATTTTCGAAAACTATAATCGCCAATCGCCAACTACGTGAACTGCTATTAGTGAATATGATCGTATACGAGGATTTTAGGCAATTCTTCTATGGTATGATTAAGAGAGATGTTAGTTTTTTTTTTTCTTTTCTTCGTTGCTTTAAATAATTATTCAATTAGCAAAGTAGAAAGCAAATTCGGTTCAAAAGAAGAGAAAGACTGAGAGAAAGGAAGGAAGAGAGGGAGTGATGGAGAGTAAAGTGAAACTCAAAAAGCCTAAATGTGTATATTTCCTGCTGGAATATATACAATGTTGCAGAAGTCCAGTAGTTTTACTTAAAGGATAAGGTGTAATTATGGAGCAACTTTGTCGCATAAAAATGTCAATCTAAATTTACAGCATCAAATCTTGAAATTTTATAGAGATGTTAATATTTTCAAAAAAGTGAAGGTACCAGGTAGTGCTACGTAAGGAATACTTTTTATGTCTAAATGATACTTTCTTTCAGCATGTGCTTATTATAGCAAATGTTGATGCTGATGCTGTTTGCGCTTCACAGATATTACTGGTGAGTAATTGGTTGATTCGCATTTATGAAACAGAAATTGGATTTCACTTTGAGAAATTAGTGTTTTGAGAAAGATAGTATCGCAACTATTAATAATCGGGATGTTTGCTTCATTAGTTTTAGTGATCTAGGATATATATAATGCGGTGGAATACTCTAAGCTTGATTCTGTTTTACAGATAAGACACAGAATTAAGTTATATAGTTATATCTGGCGCCTATGGTAATGAAAAATAAATATTCTGAAATACGTCGGAGAATTCTTATTCTTGAGGTGATAACCTAATAACTTATGCATTTCCGTTGCTTCAATTTTTAAAGATAGATGGATGTCCGATTCTTGCAAATAATATTACATCGTGCTGAAGTATGAAATTCCATTTTACGTCTCAGAAATTATTATTCATCATGGAAGCACTGTTGACGTACTGCTGCTAGATTGAGCAACGATTTAAATAAATCAGTTTGAAAGTCATCAGATTAAATCAACTTGGTTTATGTTCACATCCAAATTCATTGAATGGTACCTTCAAAATTTAAGAAAAAAATGAAAAAAATCCTAGGATTTATTTGTGGCAGATGATGTAGCCTATACACTGGTGCCAGTAGATGGATGGGAATGTTTTCGGACAGCACTGATGGAACATGGTGAGCAAGCACATTCTGTTGTGCTTTTCAACTGCGGTGCTACAGAATCACTGATTCCATATCTCCGACCTGGTATGACATTATATGTGATTGATTCCAGACGACCTTTGGATTTATCGAATGTGAGTTTGTTTAGAAACTACAAAGAGAAGTGTTGAAAAAAGGAAATGATGTCGATTATAATTTAGAAGAAAAAAGTCAATTATTTCTTATTTTGTTCGAGTAAAATATGACGAAGTTGAATTGTTTTCCTATGAAACCTGACTTATAATAACTTTGTTGATATTTCATGGTCCAGAGGCACAATTTCATGTAACATTATTGTCATGAAAGCATAAGCAAATGAAATATTTGTTTTGCTAAGGTCTTCTTAAACTGTGATATAATTCTCTCTTAAACCATAATATAGTTCTATTTCTTTTGACTAAGAATGACTGCGAGGGCTGCGCTTTTGATGCACCTATAATAAAATTTATCGATAGTTCATTTTCTTATAAAATTGTTTTATAGGTATATTATGAGGATAATATCCGCCTTATTGTGAGTAGGAATGAATGGGAGCAACTAGATATTCCAAACATCTGTGATGTTGAAATCTCAGATAGTTCATCTTCCGAGGAAAGTGGCGATGAGGTTGAAACTGGAATAGATACTAAAAATGAGAGCGGTTTTCTCGAAAGGACAGTACAACTGGAAGAAGATGATGAAGCTAACGAAAGTCAAAGTGATGGGTTTTTCTTTGAATTTTTTAAATTCTGTACGATAATTCACTTAAACTTTATTTTTCTGTCCTTCGAGACATATACACTGAAAGTCCTTCGTATTAAGTGTTCAATATTTGCTCTGATTTATTATCCATCTATATATTTTTAATTATGTTGAATTTTACGAATTTGTAGCTTCTCCAAGTGAACAGCTAGAAATTGCAAGAAGTTCAAGTGACGGGGAAAATGAAGTGGAAAAAAGTGATGCTGGTGATACGGAGCGAACTGATGACAGAGAACAGCTAGAAGAATCTGCTAGTAGGCGCAGAAGGCGAATCAGTGATGTTGCAGATTCAGTCGGAAGACAAGAAGCAAAACGGCGACGACGGATGGAACTTAGAAGACATCGTGAAGATGTTCTGTGGAAATACCACGAAAATTCCTGGTATGGGCCATCGGTTAGTTCCATTTCTGCTTTCAAATTTCCTCCTTGAACTTTCTTTGCTTAGATCTTTTCATATTTTTACACTTCATTTTTTGTTATTACTGCTTACAGTAACTAAAGAGTTTGAAATTCTTATATTTTATCATTTATAATTACTTTTTATTTTCCTTAGTGTTTATTTTATGTATTGATAAGATCTGAAGTTGTAAGGCTAAAATCTCTTCAAATTTGAAATTTGTAAATCTGTTTGGTATCTTGTAAAAGTTGAATTGATTTGTATTAACCCAAAGTCATCTAAATTAGTTCTACAATTCATCGTTTATTTTTAGAGTGCTGTGCTGATGTTGGAAGTAGCGCACTCCGTTGGTCGAACTACTGTTGAAATGATGTGGTCAGCTGTAGTCGGGATAAGTAGCCAGCTAGTGGAGTATTTAATAAGTCATGATTGTTATACAACCGTTTGTTTTGATCGTTTAAGGGCATTCAGGATGAAATTTTGTCCAGATGGATCAGATATTGTACGAGGTGATGATATCCTTCGACTGAAGTTCGATGATGAGTATGTTAATTCCTTATTTGCATAATAATAGTATCAGATGTTAAGCACAAAATTACTGTTTCATTTTGGTAGTAAAAATTATTAGTCTTGTCATCATCGACTCAACAATTTTTCTCTTATTTTTCAATCGATGCGCATCATGCACTAATGAGTGTCATATAATTAATGATATCTGGTATAATGAATATAACTAATCAATGATAACCATAACTGTGACCATTATTATTAATGGGTATCAATGAAGAATGAGTTTGAGATTCAGTTCCAGATATTAATTCATATTTTATATTTTATGTAGATTGCATTATACTTTGCTGCGCGTTCCTGGAGATCGAATAATATTTTATTTCGTCCATAGTTACGTGTGTTATACTTAGTGGAAATTTTTAATTTGAAAATTAATGTATATAATAACATCGAAGGATTATAATTTGAAGAGAATATTGAGTTGAAATAGTGTTCACTTTATTTTGTGGAGTTTTTTTCTTTCGAAATTACAGTAAGTCATGTCTGAGTCGATAGTGTGAAAAGTTATCATTTCAGGATCATGTTGCCTTTATATGCACACTGGTCATTATACACAAGTATGATGCATAACGATTTTTTCTTTTGTTTAACACAAATGTGGCAACAAAGTGGTGCTCTCATAATGAAGGCATTGTTGGCTGAACTTGAGTAAGTAAACTGCATCCTTCCTTTTGCATATTTGTATTTGTAAAAACGTCAGATATCGCTGTGTATTGTTCACCTGACGAAAAGGAAAAAGCAATAGCTTCTGGAGAAGCAATACATTAATGAAGGTATTGCATTAATTCAAAGAGACCGAATGCGGATGATTTTACTGGGTGATAAACTTGAGCCATCACTATCATCATCAGATCCAACCTGATTACTGTGGTGTATTCGCAAATGCCGGAGTTGTTCAGTTAGCTGATACGGTAATATTAATTAATCGTTCTTGCGCAAAAAGTATGTGTCGGGTGAATATATGGGATACTTGAAACTTATGAATTTAGGATAACGCTGGAAGAAAGTCATCAAGTGTACAGTGCGCTAACATCGGAAAGGAAGGAAGCCATATTTCGTCACATATATAAACATATGGATGATGAATTTGCATCTTTTACGGCTCATATTGGATACAGTAACAAGTAAGAATTTAATCTGATTGCATAGATAGTGTATATAACAACTAGTATATAGTATATAACTAATATGCTAGTATATAGTGGCACTAAACTCAGTACCACCATACAGTTCAATAAATTCTGGAATATATCCATGTCAATTATAACGGAATGGAACTTAAGATTACCAAAAATCGATGCTTTTTGATGATGGTTGGGAGATTTCGATTAATACAATTCGCAGTGATCAACTGAGCAATTTATTAAAAAATACATGGAAGTATGTTTGTGATTGCTGGGAGTCTGGATTTGAATTTGAAGCTATAGGGGTTTAGATCTGGTGTTCTTATTCTTCAAAGTTAAATTGTGGCGGAGATTTGGTATTTTTGTGCGAAAAATTCAGAAAAATTATGGGGACTGAAAAAAAACTATAAAAAATTTTAGGTACAATTCGTGCGATTTCGCGCGTGCCATTGCCGGACGTATAAGTTATGGAGTTGTGGAAGTTGAATCGCCTTATGATCGTTTCATTGGTGCACAAGAAATCTTACAGAAATTCATAGAAGGTTTCCCTTTTTACTTCGAACTGACTCTGTAGAAGATGGGAAAGACAAGTCATTAATTTCGATTAGAGTTTGTAATTAAGGTTTGGAGTTCCAAAATGGGTGATGGTGTGTCCTTACTTATTTTTTAGTTTTCATTGTATTTATTAAATCTACCAATTCTTTCAGAAGGAGATAAGACACCTCTGTCGAAAGCGATTGAGTCGTACAAAAGCTGTTTGACTAGTCTTGTAAATCTCGTTTTTATGTCAATCAATCAAAGCCTTATTGTTTCTGTTGGATCTTTCTATCTTCTCTGCCTTCCTCAGGTATTATATTTACTGTCATATTTTTGAGAAAAGGATTTAGATTTGTGATGAATTAAACTTGGTCTGGCTAGTCAAGTTTTTTGTCTGACAATCATTGATCTTACTGAAATCAGTCTTATGCCTTTCAGGAAGATGAAGCGCGTATTTTACATTGTAGACATTTCCTCTATATATTCATTCATTATGTTCTTCGAGCATTCACTGTTTCAGTAAGATTTTTAGCAGTATTTTTTTGATTTATGCACTTTGAACTAAATCAGTTTTGAAACTGGTATAGAGGTATTTTAGTTTTATAAACTACTGATTTAAAACAACTCATGCTTTTAAAGTTGTTGAGTTTTTGTATCCTTTTCGTAACTGTTTTCGATGCTGCTGGGATTTTTTAGTATTCTGGTGGGCTTTATGACTGTAAAGCCCTCAGCAAAAGGATCAGATGCAAAAAAAGGGAAATTTTGTAGAAATCAATGAAGTTGACTAAGTATTGGTGGGAAGCGGTTCAAATATGGTTAACTTACTGCAATTTCTTTGTAAAATTATTCCCCAAATTTAAGTCAGTTTTTTTTTCTGAATCTAACTGAATCTTTGTCTGACTTTCTCTTCAAAATTTGCAGAGCCACTCAAAAAATCGTGCCAATCGACCATTATTTGTTGCTGTACCGATGAGTGGTGAAAATACTGGTTGGTTTTTGATAACTGGTTCTATGCCTGCAAATACCGATTATGAAGACAGTAATCAAAAAAGGTCAGTATTCTTCGTTTGCAAGTTTTACCTGTTTTTTAAATTTTTTTATTCCGATATTGTGATTTAAATATGCTAGCATTGTCATTGGAAGGTGCAAAGGACAGAAAAATATGATAGTTTGAAACATGCATTGGTGGCTGGTTTCTGATTCTAGTATCGATTATTAATCTCTGATTACTAAAACTTCCTGAAATGTTTAATACTTCTTTGTGAGTAGCAGTCAACATTGAATACAGTGTGCGTATAAAATGCAGAAAAAGATTTGCATTTGAGAATATTTTTAGTTTTATTGGACGTGCAATGCAGAAAGTTGTGGAAAATTTTATGCGTGATGGTGCTCGACGGGATTTTTTCGATTCTGCAAGTAAGCGAAATTTTTGGTGCAACCATTGTATTGTTAATCTTTACCTTATCTGTTTTGTATTTGAGACATGTTTTATACCTTCCAAAAATATGATTCTCCCTTGTTCTATAGCAAGGCATATACAGTAGTCTAAAGCACTGGTTCTTAAGTAACATACAAATGGAAATTAGGAATTTCGTCCTTTCTTTTAAATTAATTTTTAAGTGGTTATGATTCGTTCTGATCAAAAAGCTAGATTTTTCGATGGCCTTCAAGCAACACTGGAAATCGAATGAAGTTTCGCAACAATTTATCACCACATCGTACTTGGGGAAGTTTTGTGATCTCTCTACATGTCACACTGTATAAGTTCCATGTCTTTCTGTTTTTTCTTCCCATTACTTGAATTTCTTTCCAAGAAGTAACATTTAGTCGTTTTCCCGCTTCTTTTTAAAAGTCTTTCGTGATATCTTTCTTTGTGGGATAATTTTATAACATCATTTTCTGCCAGTACTACATAGCATTAATCGTACAGATTTTAAATCCAAACAAATATTTTAAGAGTTGAGAACTTTTTGTTAACTATTTAGAAGGTTTTTTGTTGAGTTGTATTGTATCATATATTGATATCGTTTTGAAACAATGCTTATAATTTACGGCATTTATGTTAGTTTTCTGAGATTTAAGGTTTTTTACCATTTTAAAATGGCGATGACAATCCGAATGAAATTTGATGAACGTATGAATTATCCGAAAAACACAGTTTTTGGAAAAGAAATAATAGAAAGTAGTGCCTTGAAATAAAGCAATAAAATCCAGGTTATCATTACAAGGTGGTAAAAGGAATGCATTTGCTGGAAAATATGACATTTTCTAGAATTTCAGTTTGTTTTCTGGTTGCCTTTTGGTTGTCGTAGATTTACGCTAATAGTTTATTGTTGTGTTTTCACTGTTGCATGCAATGTCCTCATTCAGACATATCTACGACATTCGCTGCTTTTTAGGAATTTTCAATTTTATTTTGTTTTTCCTTCATTTTAAAATCCTCGAGTGCTGCTTTTTGGTAGACTCGGTTGATAGCTAAATCATTCGTGCTAGAAAAATCATTATCTCCAAGAATTTATTTCTTGTTTTTATGCCCAGTTATATTTTCCTTCTTGCACTAATTTTATTAGTGCTTGGAAAATTTTCAAATAAACTTCCTTCAATTTTTGGACATCGCAAATTGAATTGATCAAATAGTTGTTAAAGTCTTAAGCTATGGCCAATTTTTTTTTCTGAAATCAGGTTGTAAAAATGTTATCGAAACTGTTAACCCCGCTGAAGTCTTGCGATTAGAGCACCATGTGCTGACGTTTAACCTCTTGGCATAGATTGCTTATTTCTGTGATTTATAAGTTAGAACGATGTTCTATAATTTTGAAGTTGAACTATTATAACCTGTGGTCCAAAGTTTCACAATCCATTTAACTGTCAGTAGTGGTTTCTCTGTAATCTGCATAAAATAACACCGTATCAGAGCTAGAAATTTAATATTGAAGTCCTCAAATATTTGACTGAAGAGTATTTGTAATAAAACTTTTGAAATTTTAATATGCTGCTTATAAAGAATCCATTCCATATAAACCGAATCGAATCTATCGAAAAGGTTCAGCGATAGGTTGAAGCTGAAAATCAGTAATTTGAAAAATTCAAAGAAATCCAAAAATTCAATCAATTAAAATAAATCTCAAAAGTAAACCATACCAAATTGTAAAATTGCGCGTTAATCCAATCACAGTCAGCATTCGGATTACCACGCGGTGATTGTACTTCGATTATAGGCCATATATTTTGATCATATAGATGACGTTGAGTCTGCCACAATCCATAAGCGCAATTTTGTTCGAAACAAAAGCGCAACTCTTCATCATTTACACACAGAATATCTTGACGCATCTGAAATTATTGATAAAAAAAGAGATTTTAAATGTTTCGAAAACTTGAATTATTTCTATTTGGATGGCAATTACAAACATATATGCCAAAGCATTCCAAGGAAGTTTTTCTTTTTTAGTAAATTTATAATAACAATAATAGTAATAATAATAATGATTATTAAATAAAGTAAGAAAAATAATAATAGTAACAATAGTGATTAGTATTATTATTATTATTATTATTTATTATTATTATTATTATTATTATTATTATTATTATTATTATTATTATTATTA